AAAACTTATTTTTTACAGGTATCACACTACTTTGTACAATGCAGCAATATTATTTAAAAATTTCTAAGTGTTATTAATTAACGAGAAAGAAGCTTTGTTTTATTAGAATATAGATGGTGTCTTTTATGCCTTTTTCTAAAATGTGAAATAAGAGGTAAATTGCAGAAAATTTGATTTTGAATTAATTAATCGTGAAATCATTTAGAAGAAGGAAATATTATACTCGAATTCATAATTCCAAATATGAAAAGAAAAGTAAGGAATAACATGTTTTGGTAAATATTTGCGCTGATAAATGCCACTGTTTAGAAAGCGGAAATTTGTAAACGCGTAAATCATAGTTGATAAACCGTGGCGAAGTTCCATTATCTACGCCATTACTATATTACATGAATCCAGCGTGACAACGATTCGAGTACAAGGAGACGTAATCAGGCATTCAGGAAGGTTGATTCAGCATTCATTATCGTACGATTCATCGCTATCTTATCGCGTGAAATTCCATCATTAATACCTTTCAATTATCCCTCCCGTTATATCCAACCTCCCCTCTCCTTCTTTCGAATATCGTCTATTTGAACTTATTCTCTCTCTCTCTCTCTCTCTCTTTTCCTACGACGCGTTAATTCCTTTGGTAACTTTCCAAAAACATGGTAATGATGGAAAATTACCAAAATGCACAATGGACGACGAAACGTGCGAGGAAACCGGTTTCGTTTAAGTGAAAATAGGAAAAAGAGGCTGTTTATCGACCATCCACTTGTTTTCTACCCAGACGAAGAAATCGTTTTTCCGCTAAAGTTCGTTTTTCTCGTCGTTTTCCGCTCCATGAGGGAACGAAGACCTCTAACGAAGTTTACGAACGACTGGAGGCCAGCGTGTTAACTCCGCGAGAGGATTGCTTTTACAGAGGGAAAACTTTTTCCTTCGTGCTTCGTTCGCGAACAGAATCCCACTAGCTTTCCTTTCTTTCCTCCTTTTTTTTTTTTTCCTTCTTTTCCTCCGTGACGATCGAACTCCCGGGGAACAGAAAGATTAGTTAACAGGTGTTCCAGGTAGAGTCGGCAGGGTCGATTACACGCTTCGCTATGGAACACCGACAAGCGATAAATCTTCCCTCGGAAAGGAGATCCGCAGGAGCACCAGTTCGACTCCTGCAATTTTATACGTTAACTGAACGTGGAAAAAGCGGCGAATCTTTCGGTGTTATCTTCAACGATTTTTTAAATTTTCTTTTCTTTTTCTTTTTTTATTAATTTAATTATTCAAAAAATCGGAATGCTTAAATAAATTTTCAACGGTGGCATTTTTAGTGGTGAATGTCACTTCGGAATAGATTGAAATTTTACCAAGAGAATTGTAGAATTCTAAGAAATTTTTAGACGATAATTAAATATTTATTTAAGGCTTAAATGAATTTGTGTCGCGATATAAATAATACGCTGGAATTTTCAACGGCGAATTTCACTTTGATAAGAGTTTCAACGATATTTGATTAATGAAAAATTGAATCCTACTTTAACAAATTTCGAAAGAAAAATTGAAGAAAATTATCTAGCAAAAGGTGCTTTAATTAAAGATCTTTGAACCGGTGTAAAGATGACATAAGACAAGTGGTTGCTTTTAATTTTGCAAATGTCGTTTCGAATTATCTGTGGAACGTTTGAGAGCACAGCGTGACGACAAACACAGGGAGCTCTGTACTCGCGTTGGAAATTAATCTCCTTGAACGTTTGAGTTCAATCATGGCGTGTCTCTATGGTCACGAGCCGTAGTTAGGATAGGTCGGGCTTCGATTATATTTAGAATAGTCAAGTTGAGTCTGACAGCCTATAGTAATATATCCAATTCGAACCGTTTAGCGGATCTACGCGATGACCATGATCTAGACGCAAACAAAAGTCATCCAATAAATCGTTTCTGCGTAGCCTTCGAGTAAAAAACACTTAACCCTATCACCGACGCTTGTCCTATTTTAATAAAAATTCATCTATAACCACTTAGTCGTCGAACGGCAAAATGTGACCGAATCCTACAAACAGCGTGACGTTGGGAGTCTGCCGATCGTTTCAACTTCCTTCCGATATCGATTCGTAAAACTTCCAGCGAGGGTAAGAAAACGAAAGAAAAGCTGAAAGAAACGAGAGTGAAAGTGGAGGTTCGATTGAGAAAGGTATCCAGTGGCGCTAGAATTATTCCCGTTAGATGGCAACAGTCCGTCAACACTGGCCACGCTACACTAACTGTTTATTCAAGGCCCGTAGTTAGGGCAGGTTAGGCTTGGACTGCGCCCAGTTTGCATCAATTTAGATTCAACCTTCCGTCGTGCACTGTTAGAGCGGTTTCATCGGTACGATTTTCATTCGGGGAAACCACTGATTTCCACTTAAATCGAATTATTCACGTGTCCGCTTTATCAACACCTGTATCACACCTTTCTGGTAGAATTGTAAATGTTATCGAATCGTCGGAAGAAAGTACGAAATTTCACCACCGTGACACACTTCGGTGGTAAGAAACAAAGGAATAAGAGGAGCGAGGTCGAATCGGCTGAATTACAAAAGACGATCAATTACGGTGGATTACAAGCCTCGTGCATAACAATTTTATGGAATGAGAGAAACGAAAAAAGTAAGAGAAGAAAAGTACACGATAAAAAGAATTTGAAAATTCTTATCTACGATCGTCCGACGAGTTGAACCATTCCTCTATCTCTGATAACTCCTCTTGAAACCTTTATCAACCCGTACATTCGTTAATTCACCGCCTCCATTATATCCAATTACGTCGATTAATCCACCGACATCGCGATATCTATATGTAAATCTCATCTACGATTGAACAATGAGAACACGTCGGTCCTGAAGAAACGAGTCAAGTATGCACGTTATCGGTCCCACAAGACGTGCTTGATATTTCAACGGGGGGATATATACGATGGCGTTAGATAATAGAAGCAGAAGCAACGGTGTAATGGTTAACGGGCCACAATTGAGGCAGGTTAGTCCTGCCCTAAGCGGCAGTCGGGGTTAGGGAGCCTCCTTTGTTAGGTGTACGAGTCTCGCTCACCTGTGATCTAACTTCTACTTTCCGTAGACATAAGCCACGTGTTCCACGGAGGTGTGAACGCAGGTACACACGCGACGTTTTATGTGTGTGCGTGTGAGCGCCTACCACACAGGGGTTAAGCGGCTTTCACTCTCCGGGTGTTAGTGAGTCAACCCAGCGTGGCAGGGGAACGCACTATATTCTCTGATTGTGTATCACACCGATCAGTAGCGTAGCTATAGGCGCCACCGTAGGGTACCCGTTTTAATTCCATGCACATACGTACGTACATGTACACATACATACATATTTATTTCTCGTGGCTTTTTATAGAAGGTAAAAGTTCAACGTGGCTTTTATTAGACGAAGGGCTTGCTTGCGCAGCCTTAGTCTTGACCCTAATGTTCGCGGCCGTTGTTTGTCGTTGGAGCGTGGAATTTCGTGTTAGCCTGGGTATATTTGGCGCGAGGCTGAAACGCATAAAATAGGACCACCGATTTCATGGTGATCCTTGGCTACAAATTTACTTTTGTTTTCCGTGGGCTTAGAACGTGTCGCGTCGATCACACACGACGCGCGGTGCCACGCGTACACGCATAGTAAAGGCTAGGCCAGGCCTCTTCGTACTACCGATAAAAATCCTTGATCCTAATGACGGGTCAACCGTGCCAATTGGCCATAGGAAAGAGCCGGTTGTGCCTCGAGGATACCATCGTGGCTTAATCTCGGACCGATAAGCTCGCATGGTTATCGTTTCACGATGAAAATGCGCTTTTCCTTCTTTTCCTTTTTTTTTTTTTTTTGGAGGTTAGATTTGTACGTATGCCAAACGGATCGATCGAGGGAACATTCTTTAATAAGCGAGGCGGATGGAATGACGTGTTGCTGGTTACACTGTACTTCCTCGAGCACGTGTTACTGCAGTCATAACCGTGTGAATAGCATGACTTTGATTTGAACGTTTGAATTAATTGTTTTCATGCAAATCGTGTGTCTTTACGATCTCGGGGAGTTTTAATCGCTTACGAAAAGCGTTAACATATTTCTCCTTTTCTTTTGTAGAAAATGTGTAAATATATTGGCAAAAAGAACAGATCGGATGAGTATTAAATTTTCGTACAATTCGTTGTATTTCGTATTATGGAGTAGATTGTGAAAGAATATTAAACACACATTTTACGTTTGAACACATTTGCAATGCACATTTTACGTTTGAATAAGAAAATAATCGTGGAACATAGTTGCAGTGTCGAGAAGTGGCGTTTCAAAATAACGCGGGGCGCCAGCGGGTGGTACTACACCAATGCCCGTCGGCGGTGCACGGCGCAGGCGCCGCGGAGCCGCGGCACACCACGCCGCGACGAACTCACTCGCGCACCGCATCGCACGCCACACACAACACACCAACTAATAACGTGCAAGCTTCGATTTGCAGTTACCGCGAGGGCCACGCGGTCGCCATAGGAAAGCAACAGCTCGTCTCGTCGCGGTAGTCGTGTTGTGCGCGCGAAAAGAGAGTGTGACGTTGGAAAAAAAAAGGGGGACTGTTTCTGCGAGAGGCGGTGTGCTCGGCAGGACCTAATACTCGAGCGATCAAAACAAACTCGCGAGTTTTCGCGCCGGTGTCTCGTGAACGGTCTCGACAGAGACGAAAAGGACAGAGTGAGAGTTTTGTCAAGAGAGGAGAAAATAGAGTGAAGGAGAGATATTATTCGTCGTGGCGCAAGAGTCGGATTTGCACGTTCGCATGGGAACGCGTCGTGTTATGCTCGCCTCATGCATCTTGTTTACACGTGAGACTGTCGGTAGGACTTTCGGAACGAGATCGTTATTGACGACCGAGTAAATCGACCGCAACGAAGGTAACCAAGAGAGTAACGAAAAAAAAAAAAAAATAGCGGGAAAAACAAAAGTCAGTGTAAAGAAATCGCGGCAGACTGTTGTGTCGAGAGATGACCGTGCAAGAGTTCAAGCCTCGTGGCAGTGCGGCCGAGGAACAACAGCCGTCCGGCGACATTCTGTCACCGTCTAGCGAACCACTGGACAACGACAAGGAGCAGTCGGCCCAGGTCTGTTATCGCGGTGCACCCCAGGATAGCGAGAATCTGTTGGGACGAGTTTTAGCCGGTAAGCAGACCTTCTCCTGTCACACATAACGCGTGCGTGCGTGTCCGTTCCTTGAGAAAAATTCCATCCGTTCGTCGAACGAAAGGGAGAGTAGTAACATGCACATTTTTCCCGCTCGTTCGCGACCGTTCGATTTCGAATCGGTTTTGTAGGGTCGCGTGTACATTCTCTGTGTGTATAGTGTCTGTCTAACACACGACAGGCCCGTAAAAACATTCTTAACCTAGTGTAGATCACGATTCAGGTAGGAAGGAATAGAGAAAGAGGCGGTTTCACTTTCCAGCGAGGTTGGAATGTAGGTCGCGGGGCCCGGGACGAGGCTAGTTCGTTGCCCTCGGTCGGCGGCCTTCCACTCGGCGCTCCGGCAATTTTTCTCCCTCTCCGTCTCCCGGTCTACTCCGTCTCTGTCCCACCTGCGGCTCGATCTTCCCTCTCTTCTTTTTGCTCGTGGTTCTAGCCTAGATAGTGAGCCTCTCTAGTGGGGCTCCCACCCTAGAGCATTCGACTTCCCTCTCCATCTCTCGTTTCGCTTCTCCCTCTCTATACATATATATACACGCACCTCTCTCTCTCTCTCTCTCTCTCTCCCTCTCTTTCTGTCCTGTTCGAGCGCGCTTCCACGTATCCTCTCGTTCTCGCTGGCGTTCGCCTCTCTCTGTCTGGCCTGAACTCGTCGTGAACTCGCCGCGTTGTATAGAGAGGCAGGGGG